TGACTGTTTTACGACTGAATGAATGGTAAGATATGCTCTAGATACAATTCCATCGGTTTCTCATATTTTATAGGGCTTTTTTTGTTAACCTCCTACTCTCGTAATCTAGTTCTTTCGTTATTATTTGTAACTCGGTGCCGGGAGCTTCAGAATAATTAGAGTTTGCGATTAAACTGTCAGTCGTTACCAAAAAAATTTATTATTCTTCGTTGATGAGGCTCGGCAACATTTACCGGGCTGCGCTTCTAAAATTGTCGAGCAATTTAACGACAAAAAAGCTCGTTCCACATTTGCGTTGTTCGCGCACAGGCCTCGTCATTTTCGTTTGTTAATTGAAGGGGTGTATACGCGCGCCCGCGCGCGGGCCTATATTGTAGTGGCTCATCTTCGAAACAACTTATGAGAGGCTGCCGTCGCTTGCACACGTGTGTATGTGTCGGCTTAAATCCTCTGTTAGAGCAAAATAACTAGCTCATCGTTATCATCGTAGACGTCGCGCTGTAGACATGAAACCGACGCAGACGACGCTTGTGATGCGCTGCATGCACACAACATGCATGAAGGGGGCCAAAGTAGCTTTCACCTATGAATATTTTGTCGGGGCACTTGACCAACATTCGAGCACGAGCTCTGTGTCGTTGGCGCGCATTTTTTACATCATTATTACGATGTCACGATGCGTTTGAGCGCGAGGCTTGTAATTAAAACTGCCCTCGGTCCTTTCCTCATTTAACCGCTCCTTCCACCTACCGTCCCTCCTTACCACTCTCTTTGCCGAATATAATTCCTTTTTTCCTGTGAATGCAGTCACCCAAGCCTTACTTTTGTCTTCTACCATCCCTAGAGATCTAATAAAGTTTCCCGTTCGTATTCGACTTGGACATCTCTGAACTTTCTTTTTCTTTTTCCCCCTTCTTCTCTTTTTCGTATCCTTTTTATAATACTTTTTTTCCATTCACTCAACTCGCGAAGTTAACTATTAAAGATGAAGAGAAAAAAAGTGATAATTGAAAGTTCATTTTTTCCGTACCGCTGATTATAGCGTATAATTACATGCCCTTTTTTTCTTCAACCATTTACTAACTTGAATACTGGTCGATTCGTTCGAATAATTTTGCCGTTTTATTTCAGCTTTTCTAGCTTTCAATCAGAATTTTTCTCGTGGTAAAGTTTCACAAAAATGCCCCGCAATATTTTAGTTTCTAGTCGCTGAGAGCGATTTAAGATTCCAATCGATATTTGAAAGGATTTTTTTATTGTTAACATTTGAAAAGGAAAAAGTTTATGGTTTTGTAGGAATCTCTTTTTTTATTTCTGTGCTTCAAAACTAGCACGGAATATCTACAGCTGTGTATAAATTACATCTCATTAAAATTTAATTTAATATATGAAAACATATTTTATAATCAAGTATTTACATCTAATAGTTTGAATTTTATTTAAAATTTAATTGTTGCACAAAGACAAATTTTTGATTCGTAAACTGTTCTTGCTGCAAGCCTAAGAGTTGAATTCTTACAAGACATTATTCATTTTAGTGGCTCTAAAGATGGCATACCGATGATCTAAAATATTTAAAATTGTCAACTTTTTTTAATGTCTATTTAAAATTTTTAATGTAGAATGAAATTAAGAAGATTAATTGAGTTATTTCAAAATAAAAAAAACTGAGCCGATAATTGGTTTATGTTGTACTAAAGTGTGCGTTAAGTATTTCAAAGTTAACGTTCGAGATAATTTCTCCAATACTTTTAAGTATCTTATAAAGATTCAATTTGCTCTCGTCACTTATTCATTCGTCACTATCAGTAATTTAAGTTTGAAATATTACACTCTACTGCAAACTTGTTAATGGTTTTTAAAATTAAACTACTGTCATATTTGGTTTATCGTCACGGTGAACCATTGGCTAAAATAAGTTCATTCAAAGGACTACCGCTCAATGAACCTTTAAATTTTTAATATAAGTCGGGGTTTGGAAATTATGTTACAAACAGTGTCGAATTTCTCTTTGATTAACCATAAAATGATGGAATACTTTTTCTGACAGCCATTTTTGAGCCACGTACAAAGTTTATATATCCTATTTGACTATTTAATGCGTTTCTCAAACACCATCGTTGTCGCAATCAAGCTCGTCCAGGCATTTAAAAAAATGGCGTATAAACCCGTAAGCTTCTTACATAATAATAAACGAGATTTAGCCATTGTCATATTCCGTACATGGTTTTTAATGCATTCAAACATTTGACAAATGAATAAATGAAACGACACCGCAAGTAAAATAAAAGGCTTTTCCTTGCGCTAACGACGCTACTGCTTGCAGTCTGCACGTTGATATTTCTCTCGGTGCTACACCGCCGCTGCTGATGCCCACCATCCATTTATACATGCGTATGCAAATGTGGAAAAAGCGCACCAAGGAAAAGCTTCGCATACATATACACCGGCCAATTATACCACGTAAACGAAGTAAACCTTTTTCCCTCTCAGTTCCGTGGTTTTTATTACTATATATGTATTTTTCTCATTTTTTCTTCTTACAAATAGTGTTAAAAATTTTCATATAAGAAGACGAACTTTCCATTTTGGACTCATACGCTCAAGTGTGGATCTCATAATGTACCAGAACTTTTGCAACTAGAAGAAAACATGAGCTCTTTAAACAAACGTATTGTTTTTGTTGTTTCGAGACAAGTAGCTTAAATAATAAAAATTGAAAATTGAAAATGTAACTCAGTCAAATTTCAGTTTGAATTCTTGGTAGGAATTTTGGTATCTTCATGCCAAATATAAGCTACAGAGTGATACAAAATTGAAAAGTTAAATTATTTAAATAATGAATTAATCGTGAGTTGTTCAAAAGACTATAAAATTAATCAAGCGTTCTCTGGTAAACCAGGTTTTATTGATAATTTTTAATTTTAATTAAAAGAACTCTGCACAGTTTTACAAGTATATATCTTTCGCATCGTGAGCATACAATTTTGTCTTTAATTGAAAAACTTTTCCTTTTTTCTGACAATTACAACTTAATTTGCGATGCTTTTATGCTCCACTTCTGCGACATTTAATATGGTTTAATTCACGTAGCATTATATTTTCCTTTGCTCTCCTTTTCCATTCCTTCTGTCTCATGTACGTTCGATTCTACGCACACATGACTATACAAAAATTTCGGTACACGCCTGCACATCCCCGCGATTCAACCTGGCGTTCCACGTGTGTCCCATTTTCTTTAGCGCGCAGAGCTAATGAAAGTCGCCCACCGTGTGCGCATATACGTGAGCACGCGCTAGATACACGCGCATATATTTAATACAGAGACACTTATTCTGCAAATAACCAACTTATAAATTAACGAGCTCCTATGTGATTATCAAAATAATATAAAACTCGAGCGTCGCGCAATATGCGTTTTGCACACATAACTGCGCGCGATCCTCATTACCGAAATTCTCATTAGGTACAGCCGCGTACACGTCTCACCGTTTTATATATATATATAATAGTCTTGCTTTTTAACAAGTATACAGGCCGTTACACGTAGATGTATCCGCACGCACGATATCGTGAGATAGGAAGAAAAAAATCCTTTTCGTTCTTAGATTATGCAATGCGAGCGCGCGCAGCATATAACAAAAGTTTTTGACTGTTGCTGCTGCAACGACACGACGTTTCTCCTCTTGCTGCAGACTGCAGTATTATATGAGCGAGCTAGCTCGGCTTATAACGACGCGAGAAAGCAGCGACGAACTTCAACGCTGCTAGTCCTCCGTCTTATCGTTATCAGCTGCTGCAGCAATAGCAGTAGCAGCAGCATCACAACGAGTTGCATGTTCTACAATTTGCCTACGAAGTTGTCAGCCTCGGGGCGTGTTATACTCCGCTCCTGCGCTTTTATTATTATATCATTTTCTATTTTTTCTTATTTTTTCTTTTCTCGCTCTTACACGGGCCTATAATACGTAGACCGTCGCTATACAATAAACGCAGACATTGCAGTTTTCTTCATAACGAGTACCATGTAATTATTATGAACGAACTGTTGAATCGAAATTGAACATTTTTCAAGGGGATAACATTTTTCATTACTCGAGGATTTATTCGAGTGTATCTGGCGCTTAAGTAAACCGTGGCCAAGTGGCGTGGAGGAAATTCGCAAATATTTTTCAACTTCGTCTCTCGCTCTCGGGAAGCTTAACACAATGACTCGGTTAGTCTGATGTATCGAGTCTCGTTTTTCTCCTCGTGCGGTTGCGTGCGGTCGCAATCGCCGCCGACGCCGTACCAGCTAGCCCAGCTAATGCCCAGCTATTACTTCGTTTATTAGATCGATCGCGCCTTAGCCAGAGAGCCAAAGAGAAAGAGAGAGAGAGAGAGAGAGAGAGAGAGAGTGCGCGCGGCTGCACAGTGAGGTAAAAGAGAGAAAAATGATTCGCACACACATAGCTCAGACCGGAGCAAAAAAGATTAATCGGCAAATAGAGGGATAACTGTGATGTAATAAAATTTTATTTGAAACGAGAGAGCGGTAATATTGATAAAGTATATACGCACATATACACCGAGACGTCGTGGCGAAAGTCCACGCGAATATAAATACCTGACAGTGGCATTGCATTTTTAATTTGATTTTTTTCTTCACGAGGACACTCGATCTGCAGAGCTATACCTAGTAGAGAGCTATACCTTCCCCTCTTGCTACTGCACAAGCGCAAAAATGTAAATATAATCAAACTAAGCTTGTTATCTTATTCGATGAAAAAACTATACGCGTTCTAATTAAATTTTTCCTCTTTATCCCCGTAGCAACTTTTTTTTGCTTCCATTCGACAAGCCCACTGGTTATGATCACTTGGAATGTTAATTACTCGAGGTATTGTGCAAAGGCCCTCGACATACAAAATCTTTATTTAACGATACTTTAACTGCTTGTAATTGTAAAAAATTAGTGAAGGAAACGTTTGTAAAGAAAAAAATCACGATTAATGTTACAGGTGCACTACCCCAGTCGTTTCGCGTCAGGCCAAGCAACAGCTCGGTACTAGAAGGAGGAGAAATTACACTGCAATGCGAGGTCAATCATCGAGTCGGCATCGTTCAGTGGGTCAAAGATGGCTTTGCCTACGTCATTCTAGCAAGTGAGTAAACTATACTTTATTCTGCTTTATTAAAAAAAGGATAAAATGGAAAAGATTATTAACGTGAATAATGTTCTCCTGCAGATGGTGACATCGTAGGTCATCCGCGATGGCGGATCGAGGGCGAGCAGTCGATGGGCGTTTACAATTTGCATATTAGAAACGCATCGCTGAGCGACGATGGCGAGTACCAGTGCCAAGTCGGACCCAACGGCAGGATCAAACCAATCCGAACGAACGCCAAGCTCACCGTTCTATGTAAGTACTTTTTTTTATAAAATAAACAGCGATTACTTGACGATATGATACAATGAGACATGCCAATACGATGTCATGAAGAGAGTAATTTACTAAATTAGCTTTGTTTTTATACTTTATATATTGTATTTTATTTTAAAATACTCCATTTGTTGACGGAATCAAAAAGCTTATAATCTAAGTACAGCATCTTTGATTGCGACAAATCTTGTTACAATACAAAGTCAATTTTGAAATATCAATCCTTAAATGTTAAATTCAAAAGCATCAAACATTACAAAAGTTCTAATCTGTCTCTATTCTCATGATTATCTTTTCAATTTTTACGGGTTGACTACCCATGCCCAACACACCTAAAGAAATTTCCTTTAAAATGAATATCGCACCTGGACCACATAGTTGTAATCCCACTCAATTTATAATTCGTAAGGGTACGCAAATGCGGTATACATATAACGAGTGTAAACGCGGCTAAAGGCGAGCATTGTGCTTTCAAAGACTCAAGGGAGTATAACAGTGACGGTGGCGGTATTGGGTCAAAAAGGGGGGATGAGGGAAAGGGGGGCAATAGTGGCAAGCGGAAATCCGATTAAAGACAGAGTCCGCAACTGCGAATCGAATCGTTGCCTTTCCGCGTAACAACATCGATTGAGTGAATGAACGAGAGACAGAGAGAATTCGAGCGTTTGTTTGATTTGGATACACGCGCGAAGCGCGCAAATAATCGCATACACTGTGCAAGGGGGGGGGGGG